TAATAGATATTTGTATAGGTGTATTTTGCCTTTGTATTTGTAAGACACCTTTTCCTTTTCTTATAGGTCATCCCTTTAGGATTTTAGGGTATATTGTTTGGAGACTTTTGCTCCATTTGACCTTGTATTAAGGGTCATTGATTTTCATATTTTTTTAGTAGTAGAAGTGGGGTGACAAATAGTAAAGTGTGTAGGTGAAGCTAACAATTGGGCCTATAGTGGGCCTAGGCTAATTTTTACATATTTGGCTTGTTTTGCTCCATTTAACCCAAGGAATTCATTTAGTTAGGTCTCACCTTCATTAGGTGAACCTAACTAAACCAATTCCAACATTTTTGAATTAGATTAAGTGAAGGAAAACAAGATGGGCCGCCTAGCTCTTCTAGCTTCTCCCACACACTTGGATAGCTTGTGCTACAAGCTTTTAGCTTAGCTTGCTCCCCAAGCTTCTAAGTTAGAAGCTTGTTCCACAAGCTTCCAAGTTACTAGACTAGTTAGGTTGAGTGTAAGAAGGCTAACCATGGTTCTCCTTGAACCATAGTTAGTCTAGCTGGCACCACAAGCTTCTCCCTCACTATATAAGCCTTTTTCTTCACTTTGTAAACACTTTTGATGATATATTTGAGTGAATTCCGAAATTTTTTTAGAAATTCTCTCTTCCAAAAGTCTCTAACCTCTTTGATATTTATCCAATTCTCTTATCCTCTTCAAGCAAGAGTGTGGTGAGGGTTGAAGTGGCTTATCTATTCCAAGGAGTGGCACCTCTTAAAGAGTGTTTCTTCACCAAACCTTGGTCAAATCCGAAGCTATTCCACCATTAGAGGCTTTGGAAAAGCTTAAGGAGAATCAAGGAGCCAAAGGTCTAGGGAGAAACTTGAAGAGGAATCAACATCCATCCGGTTCCAAAGCAAGTTTCCATCAAGATGATAATTGAATTCATTGGGATGTGCTTTGTAAGTTAAGGTTCTTGTAGATTGATGAACACCCTTAATTGTATGAATTAATGAGTAATTGAGAGATTTTACTTATCGATGTACTTTATTTTTTTTGTAATATCTTTCTATTTGATTAACCAAATCAATTTTTGTTTGTTGGGTTAGAAAGTAGACAATTGGGACTATAATTTAGACTCTATAATTGTGTAAAAATGTTAAGAATTAATTGAGTTATGCGAGTTATAAGTTTAGTCTCCATTCTAGTACATAAAATATTAAGTTTTGTGTTGTCAGCCATGCGTGGTGACCTTAATAACATTTTTAGGCTTTGTGTTCTTCACAAATGTTGTAACCTTGGGTGCTATCTTTCCAATGGCGTTGGAATCAAAAAGGATGTGTATAACTCAAATTAAGGTCAAAATAGTGAATAAAGGTCAAACTCTCATGATTTATTGTGTCCAACATGGGTATTTTATTTCAGTTTGCGTTTTTGACGCTTTAAGACCTCTTTTTGGCATGTTTGTGATACTTTATGATTTTTTAGTGATTCTTTTTAATACTTATGATATGATTGAATGACTTTGATGTGGGATTGTGAAATATGGTATTATATTGATGGATTTTGATGATGGTTGTGAATCGTATGATGTCCAGTAATGACTATTGTATAAACATATATAAATAATGTGTATTTGGCTGAGTATATTTGAGTATGAATGGTTTGTATTTGTATAAGTGATATATAAATGTGGTTGAATGTGAATGATTGGTAATTGAATGAGTGATGTATGAGAAGATTTGTGTGTAATGTATTGTTATGTATGAAAATGTTTGTGTGCAATGCATTTTCATGGATGAGAATGAGAATGAATGTGGTAGAATGGTATGACCATTGATAGACGCATATGCATTACCCTATCCTATGTGGTGTATAACAGAGAATGTATAATATATAGGTATAACTACCTTGGCTTGTGTGGTGATTAACAAGGCAATACATTACTTTGACTTGTGTGGTGTATAACAAGGAATGCATGTTATACTTATATATCCACTTACTTGTGTGGTGTATAACAGTGGGCAAGTGTGAAGTGGTGCTTGAGGGGATTGATAAGCGTCGGTGTGAATGTGTTCATGGTGCATATTTATATTGTGATGTGGTGATTGGATGGGATAGGTTCGGAATAATATTATGACATGAGATTGATTGATATGTTTAATTATATTTATTTATGAAATTAGTTGTAATGCATGTAATTCCTTCTTGTAACTTGTATGTCAATGCTTGTTTTTCTTATCGTACTATTTGTGGTTGTTTTAGGTGAGGATGAATTGGATGTGAGTGACACTCCTAGTACCGATAGTTGAAGTTAAGGGTTGTTCTGATAGTGTGATATCGAAACAAGGGACTTAAATTGAAAATCTTATTTTATTTGGATTTTATTGTTTTCATTAGTCATAATTGTAAACCTATATTTTATAATTTTTGTTTTAAATTGGCTGAATTTTTGGAAGTGTTTCATATGCGAATTGTTTTACTCAAAATTATTAATTATTTTCACCTTCTATTCTATTGTTATATGTTGGGATAGAACAAGTGTCACAAAAGTGGTAAGTGACAATTTTTAAATAACATTTATAACCTCAAATTATATTTCTTGAAAGAATGCGATAAAAATGAGGTTATATCATCCTTCGTATGACTATCTTTATTATCAACAATTTACTCATTTTGTAACATGGACCGCATGTAATCATTAATGTAAGGAGCAAAAGACTAATATATATTTTTAAAATGTAATATATGTTTGAATAATTTAAAATATAAAAAATTCTCATGTATTTATGATTTTGATAATCTATTTTTTAATTTAGTTTTTACTTCAACCATCCAAAAGGATATTTAACAAACATTTTTTTTAAATTAAATTTTTTAATTAAAAAAAACCATTGTGAAGTGGTCCCTTCAAACCTCTAACTTCTTATGGGTAAAATACTATTGACATTCTAATCATTTATTGAGGGAGGGTGGTAGTTTGATAAATAAAATTTAGGGTCTGACGGTCTAATAAAAAATTGCATACTGAGTTGTCAACATATATTTGTTTTGTTTTGTTATTTATTTATTAGTAAATGAAAAGAAAATTTTACTAAATCCCCACTTTACCCTTATAATGAATGCCCTCCATTCTTTAATTAATAATGAGCTGTTTTAATTATCGCATGATGATGAATTGAATTTAAGACTAAAATTATAATTGTACCAAAATTTTATAATAAAAAAAAGAATAAACTGTATTTTAGGTCTTGCTGATTTTTTTTTTTTATATTTTCAAAAGTATAATTTTGATTTTAATTTTCTTCATAATTGATAAATATTAATTCTTTTATGAAACTTAAAATACCAAGCTGAAAAATGAAATTTTTTTTTTTAAAGTATGAAAACTAAAACAAGACAGACAACTCAAGACACAGAATCTCTCTCTAACAGTAATAGGATAAAGTCTGAAAAACTCCTCTAAAATACATTGGAACTTAGGTTCCGTACATCCCAATTAACAAGCATATAAAAAAAGATTACACGAATAAAATTATCATGAAAAAACACATCTTACGATGGAAAATTTATTAATCTTGAGGAGTATTTACGTAATCATGGAATCCGAACAACACGAGTGAAACTCATAGTAGTAAGTTGTATCCTTTCACTTTTACAGTAATTATTTATTCATTACTTCTTCTTTCTCGCAATAACTATAATTTAAAATTTTTATACATAAATTAAAAATAATAATTAATATATCACCTTTTATATAGTTTTTTTAAAATAATTTTGCATTTTTTCAAAAAAATATATTATTTTTAAGTGCAGTCAAAGCTACATTATTAGACATAAAATAAATTTTAAAATTATGTATTTTTAAAATTAATAATAATATTTTTTATAGAAACATAAAAGTATTTCAGAAACATATTTTAAAAATAATATTATTTTTTATATTTTCTAGTAACAGCCTCTTAGAAAGAACTTTTTTTTCCTTAACACTAAAAGAATTATATTCTTTTTATCAAAATAATATCCTGAGTGTAATTAAAAAATTTATTTATAATAAATTTTTTAAGAAAATAAATTATTAAATTACTTTTTATTCTATTGTCATAATATGTCTAAATCGTGTCATATTCAGGAAATATCTTTATCAATACTATAAATATAATCTATTATTGTTATTTTGAACTTTTATAAATATAAAAATAAATTTTAATTTATAAATGTTAAAAAAAAATATAAATATTAATGTAATTTTTTAAAAACAATTTAAAAACAAAGACTTGCTCACTTTACACTTAAACCACCTTTGAATGTAATAATTAAATAATTTATGAAAAAATATTAAAAATTAATCAACATCACATTAAAAATTAAAATCAGTTATTCTAAAATATTTTTATAATACTAAAATACAGTCCATTTAACAAGAAAAACATTTATTTATTTTCCCGATACTGAAATTGTTTTATTATTTTGTAATTTTCTAAAACTGTGGTTTAAACCACCAATAACTCACCACCCTCACATTCACCAAGGATAGTCTCTGCTTTGTGAAAGTAATAAATTCAGATTTCTTTTTAATTTTTTAATGATATAAAGAATGACTAACCTATGTTAAAAACATGCTTTATATTTAAACTTTGGTCAAATTAATTAACAAGTCGCATCGATCCTTGATGCTATTCCAATAAATAAATAAATAATAATAATAATAACTTTAGACAAATTAATTAAAGAATACAAATAGCACCGACCGGTATGGTTAATAAAACCAGGATAATACTAAAGTTCATGTCCCTTTTCCTCTTCTCTCTCTTTCTTCGCACCTTCTCTCTCCTTCTCTTTCTTCTATCAGTTTTTTCTCTTTCTTCTATCAGTTTTTGCTCAAAGTATCAATAGATCACAACGTTTTTTTTTTTTTTTTTTTTTTTTTTTTTTTTTTTTT